CGTGTCAACCTCTTTTTCTCTGCCCCTCCCCTGCTCACACTGTCTCTGCCTCTCAAAAATAAATAAATGTTTAATATATATATTATGTATATATATACATATGTATGTTTAACATATATATACATATACATATATATGTGTGTGTGTGTGTGTGTGTGTATAAGCTTCCAACTGTCATTTCCTATTTTGGCTGTAAGACAAGAGCTCTCACACTCTTCTCATTTGACAGTGTCTCACGATCCCTCTCTGTAGTGCTTCATGATGGGTTAATGTGTGCTGTGAATGGAAAGAAGAACTTAAGTTAAATGCTCATATGAGGAGGCTCTACTGTAGCATCACCAGGGCCACCCTCAGGCTGAAATCTTGAGAGATGCAAACCAAGGCTGAATATATTTCCCAGTTACTCAGCGTTTGGAAAGAGAGCAAGATCCCTCTTGTAACATCAGTCACACCTTACCTGATCTATCACCATACAGTTGGCATAAACTTCATCACCACCATTCAGCACGTCAGAGAGCTGGCCTGTAGCAGAGAATGCTGGGGAACGCTTGGATTTTTTGAAGACATCAAAAGAGTGATCTAGCAGAAAAATGAAAATGGGACAGAAAAGAGTAGATGGAACTTATTTTACAGTCAAACTTTACCTTCTTTTTTTTAATTTTTTTTTTCAACGTTTATTTATTTTTGGGACAGAGAGGCACAGAGCATGAATGGGGGAGGGGCAGAGAGAGAGGGAGACACAGAATCGGAAACAGGCTCCAGGCTCTGAGCCATCAGCCCAGAGCCCGATGCGGGGCTCGAACTCACAGACCGCGAGATCGTGACCTGGCTGAAGTCGGACGCTTAACCGACTGTGCCACCCAGGCGCCCCTCAAACTTTACCTTCTTAATCAAACCGTAAAACAACAACAAAAACAAGCGCAGATTGTGTTTTTTAAACACATTCATTCACATGTTAAGATCTACATGCATGTATTTTCTATTCTACATCCAAACCTTCCCAGTTATTTAAAGCCTACAGAACAGTACTAGATAAATATGGAGAAAACAGGCAGCAACCTCTTTGACCTTGGCTGCAGCAACCTCTTTGACCTCGGCTGCAGCAACTTCTTACTAGACAGGTCTCCGGAGACAAGGGGAATAAAAGCAAAAATGAACTATTGGGCCCTCATCAAGATAAAAAGCTTCTGCACAGCAAAGGAAACAATCAACAAAACTAAAAGCAACTGACAGAATGGGAGAAGATATTTGCAAATGACATATCGGAATAAGGGCTAGGATCCAAAATCCATAAAGAACCCACCAAACTCCACACCTGAAAAACAAATAATCCAGTGAAGAGATGGGCAGAAGACATGAATAGATAAATATGTGCCCATTTCAAGCACTGTTTTTCCAATCAAAAGAGATTTCTATAAAATCATTAGACTTTTGCTTTCAATTTCTTTATTTTTTTTTAATTTTTTTTTAACGTTTATTTATTTTTGAGACAGAGAGAGACAGAGCATGAACGGGGGAGGGTCAGAGAGAGGGAGACACAGAATCTGAAACAGGCTCCAGGCTCTGAGCTGTCAGCACAGAACCCGACGCGGGGCTTGAACTCACGGACCGCGAGATCATGACCTGAGCTGAAGTCGGCCGCTTAACCGACTGAGCCACCCAGGCGCCCCGTGCTTTCAATTTCTAACAGATTAACATTCATCTCACTTAATAACTTGGAAGCATCAGTGCCTGAACTACAAACCCTGGATTCCACTCCAGTGTCCGGGCTCCATACCCTTTACTAACAGACCTAAAATAGTACAACGTCCAGTAGTTCTGTACAGCCTGACTGTGCACACTCTTAGAGAATGTTGCTATTTTAATTACAGAATTGTTTTCACTTGCTTCTATGCTCTCAGCTTTGTTACAAATAGATGAGGTTGCTTAAAGTTGAATCCCAAAGAGAGCGGTGCAACCATATTTGTAGGGAACCTAAGGTTGAAGGCAATAAAACACAGTGGAGCCAGAATGCTTCATTTCCTGTGACTGTGGTTAAATTACTTAATGTCCCAATACCTTAACAGAGTTTCTTCTTCTATAAAAGCTGATCTTCATCATGCTTTCCCTGTAATAGGGTATGAGGGTTACAGGAGTTCAAACATGTTAGGCACTAAACACATGCCTAGCATTTAGCAAGAGGTCAATAAATATTAATTGTCACTGATACTATATTCCGTTATTAATAGCTACTTCAAGCATGTTCAATGTGAGATTATTGATACTAACCATAAGGTATAGTACTAATTATATTAATAATACTCTCTTAGTGCTATATTAATAATAGAACACCCATGTCTGTAAATGACTCTAATAGTGTGGATTCAAAGTTTTATTTATAGCAAATGTCATCTTCCCTGACACTCCAGCAAGTGTTCTAGAGTGGGTACAAAATGAATAGTGTTGCCATTTCACCAGAAATGGCAATGATCTCCCTGCCCGTCCTATCTGTATCATAACATATAACCCAGGTAAGCCCATGAGAGTGCATGAGAAAATGAAAAAAAAAAATTATTAACTGTTGGGCTGATGTACTAGGATAAAAAATTGTTCTTTCTTAGAAACTGCTGGATGACATTATGCAAGTGACAAAAATACATCAATTGTATGAGCCAAACAGCATCAGCTTTAGATTCTATTTCTTAACCTACCTGTTCACCACAGAAGACCAAAATGAAATTTCATCAAGCTCCTTGAGTAAATATACAGTGTAAATGGGACGCATTTTCTTACATCCATAACGTCTTCTTTTATCAATTTATTTAAATAGCTAACACACACCCACAAATTCTTCACAAGCGTAATCTTCATGATCAATTACCATACACTTTCATTGTAATTACACAAAATTTTTAAAAAAGCATGTTCCAAAGATTATAAATCAAGAACCTGACAAAACACTTTCGATGTGTTCTGAAGAAAATACCTGCTTATAGGTCATTTTACAGAATGTGTGAAAAACAATCATAAATAACTCAACGTGCCCTCTAACTGCTCTAGAATTTTTTAAGTCCACACACTATAATGCACCTGGTATTTCTGCCACCCCATTTGGGGGGCCGGTTATGCCCTTTTTTTAGCCACTTCTATCACCGGCAAATTTAAGACTTCATCGGTAACTAGACTAAGAACAAGACATTCAACAAAACAATTGCAAACAATTGATGGATTCTATCTTAAAAACATAGAACCAAAAGCAACAGCACCACAAATTGTGTGGTACCAGTGAATGTACTGACCAGTCACCCAAAATCCATGTTATGAACTACCAAGAGAAAGAGCTTTGTTGTCAAAACTCTGACCCTCACTTCAAAGATGAACAGAACTAAGAACTACTTTTGTTATCCTCGCATTCACCTTCCCCACTCCC